CTTCCTTAGATCTAACCTGAAAATCTTCACCACCATCCCTAGTAACTGGGAGCCCCAGCAAAACATGTCTGTCTCCAAAGTCTCACGTCTCTGCCAAATGGGCAGAGGTGAAAAGCAGGGGAAACCTTGCCTCCCCTGTTCCCAGCAGACACATTGCTCTCATCTGATATGAAGAGACCTCAAAGAGAACCACAGCTAGATTTTGTCTCATCCTAAAGATACTCCCTGCAGTTGCTGCTGGCCAGGCATGGGAGAAGACACATGCCTCGTTCCAGAGAAGCTCTGTACCTGCATAGTACCAGCCTTCATCCCCTGTTTCCTCCCTGCCCACAGACCGCAGTGCCTGGTGCTCACTGGCCCTCCCAGTTTCCGCCCAGCCCTGGTGGACTTCGTGGGAACCTTCACCAAGAACCTCAGCCTGATGCTCTGCGGCAACGTGCTCATTGTGAGTCACCCGCTGGTTGGTTCCCTGTCCTGGGAGCTCTGGCCACGCATGGGCGGTGGGCTGGGAAATCCAGATGTGTCCTGCTGGGATTGAACAGTGCTCATTGTGTGCCACTTCAGGATGAGATGTTTCATCTGGAAGCCTCTTTGCAGCTTGTTAAGCAATATTGATGAAGCACTGGAAGGTCTCTGAGGGCTAATGCTTTCCCTTCACCAATTAATTGACAAGGGAAAGACACAGCAGAACGAGGCAGTTGGCTCAGGGTGGTCCTGAAGCCTCAAGAGCAATTGAGGTGCAGCAAATGCCAATTCATCTGCAGCCATGGGACAGCTGGCACTGTACGTGTTGGCTGCTGACCCCCAAAATTTGCTGGTTCTCTTGCTGTGATTGTAACCTCCGTTGTGTGCAGTGGTTACATCCAGGTCTTGCCAGTGATTTGGGATGAGAGGAGCTGGAGGTCATTGGAGGCAAGACCACCAGCAGGAAGGGCTGCCTGTGCCTGAGCCCCTGCCCTTGCTCCCTACAGGCACCACGGAAGCAGAAGATGCCAGATTCCCGGCTGATAGCAGATGGCCACACCAAGTGGCTTATGAAGAGAAAGATCAAGGCTTTCTATACGGATGTGGTGGCTGAGAATCTGAGAAGTGGTGTCCAAATGCTCATTCAGGTAGAGCCTGGGGGCTCTGACCCTCCTCCCTGACCTCCAAGCACCCCCTTTGCATCCTCCCCTGCAGACTGACACTACCTGTGTCCGTCTATCCCTGCAGAGGGCTCTCATGAGGACATCTATCCATAGGCTGCTGGCCTTGGGAAGATGAGACCCAACATCCTGGTGCTGGGCTACAAGAGGAACTGGCGGACGGCATCCCCACAGAGCCTGGAGGACTACGTGGGCATCCTGCAGTACGGCCACACCAGCTCCTCCGTCCCTGGGGACGCCAGGACCTGGTGGTGGCCCTGCGGTTGGGTGCAGGGATGCTGTGGCCACATGCTGGCAGTGCCACCCAACATGAGATGGCCACTGTTAACCTCCTTCTCCTCCTCCCTTCCAGTGATGCCTTTGATTTCAAGTATGGTGTGTGCTTGATGAGGATGAAGGAAGGGCTGAATGTTTCCCGAGTTCTGCAGGCACACAGTAAGTGCTTTTGGGCAGCTGGGGATGCTCAGAGATATGCTGGAGCTGTAGGACATGCCAGCAGGCACCATGTCCCCAGCTGAAGGTCATGGACCTGGGGGGACATCACTCCTGGCTGGGACTGAAGGGGCTGGGGACATGGGATGTTGCTGCTTGCCCATGGTGATCTCCTCCCTCCTCAGTTAACCCCATGCTCGAGGCAGAGGAGAGGAACTGCACCAGAGGCAGAGCAGCCCCGAGCACAGGTTGGTCCTGGCTCGGCATCACTCAGAGCATTCCTGGCTCCTCCAACCATTAATTTTGGGAAGCTAGGTTTATAGTCAGGGCTGTGGGTTGGGAGCAGATATGAGCCTTTAATCTGTGGCTGGCAGTGCTCCTTGCTGACACCAGGACCCTCTTGCCCTGGCAGTGGATCCCACAACCTTGGCATATGAGCAGCAGGCGAGCACCATCTTCCAGAGCAAGCAGGGCAAGAAGACCATTGACATTTACTGGCTCTTCGATGATGGAGGTAACCTTCACCTTTGGCTGCTGCGGCTCTTTGACATCTCTCTGTCTGCCTAATGTGATCCCAGCACCCCCACTGCCCAGGAGGGCTCAGTCCTTTCTGACTGTGCCAGGTCGTTCCAGGCATCTGGTGTCAATAGTGCTGGTGAGCCCACAGGGCTGCTGCCACCACCTCTGCCATTGGGTGTTTTGGGGCCAGGTCTCACGCTGCTCATCCCCTACCTCATGGGGCGTAAGAAGCGGTGGGGAAAGTGCAAAATCCGTGTGTTTGTTGGTGGGCAGATCAACAGGATGGACGAGGAAAGGAAGGTGTAAGTGCCCCACAGCCCCTCGTAGCTACCACTGCTGCCCCATGGGTGGGTGGCAGGAGCTGCTTTACCCCGAAAACTCCTTGGCCTTTGTGGTAACAGGAGCTGCAGGCTGTGACCTGGCTGCTCTGCCTTGATTCTCTGAAAATCAGTGAAGTAGGAAAAACCTAAGGGCACACCAAGGATGGCAGCAGGGCAGGTCCCGGGGCTGCTGTGCCCACTGATTCCTGGAAAACATGCCCTTTTCCCTCTGGTAGGATTGTCTCTCTGCTGAGCAAGTTCCGCCTCGGCTTCCATGATGTCCACATCCTCCCTGACATCAACCAGAAACCCCGGCCAGAGCAGTAACTGCCCCCTTCCCCTCCTTCCCCCATCTCTCCAGCACCACCAAACCCACCCAGACCCCTGGCACCATCTGCTTGTCTTGCAGCATCAAGAGGTTTGACGACCTCATAGCTCCCTTCAGGCTAAACGATGGCTTCAAGGATGAGGCCATAGTGAACGAAATGAGGCAGGGCTGTCCCTGGAAGATTTCTGACGAGGAGGTTGATAAGAACAGAGTGAAGGTAGCAGCACTGGTGGGGGAGCTTCCACAAAGGGTCTCCTGCTTCTCAGACAAAATTTAGGCTTTTTGGAACCAATTTTTATGTTTCCCAACCCTAATTGCTCTGCAGTCTCTTCGACAAGTGAGGCTGAATGAGATTTTGCTGGATTACTCGCGGGATGCAGCACTCATAGCCATGTAGGTACCATCAACAGCCTCCTGCCCCATGGAAATGGTCCCCCTAGATGTTCACTCCCCATGGACTGATACCGCAACCTGTACTGGGACAGTGGGGAGAGGGGGAAGGCACCAAGAGGTCTGGCCCTGGTCCTACTGGGGGGGAGGATGTGGTGGTGTCCTTTTTTAGGGAAATAACCTGCAAATTAGTGGAGGATGGAGATGGGGCTAAAGATGGAGCCTGGCTTGGGGGGCTGTGTCTCACCGGCCCCTTGCTGTGCCGCAGCACGCCACCTGTCGGCAGGAAGGGCTGCCCCAGCTCCCTCTACATGGCCTGGCTCGAGACCCTCTCACAGGACCTGAGACCCCCTGTCATCCTCATCCGAGGCAATCAAGAGAATGTGCTGACCTTTTACTGCCAATAAAGCCTCCTGGATCCCTGCTGACTCAGGATGTGAATTTGTCAGGCCAGTTCTGATCTCGGAGCACACACGCCTGGGGTTAGGGGAGCAGTGAAGGCGTCTGGTTACCAGCTTTTGGGAACTGATTGTTGCACACAGCTGCCATCCTCTTCCAAAGCTTTGTTTTGCCAAACTCAGTCTTTGTAGGCTGCATATAGATATATAATAGTGCAGGCACTGCTCTGGCCCTGGGTTTAGCCAGAGCCATGCAGATGAGGTGTAGGGTCCCATTTCGAGAGCATGAAGGGGACAGTGAGACTTCCACTGCCCTTGGAGAGCCTTAGGGGTGCACAGGGATTGACCCACAGCCCAGCAAAGCCACCATCCAAGGGTGTGAACTGCCCTGCGTGGGCAGGAGTGGGTCAGCACCAAGTCCAGGGGGTGCAGGGACCCTGCATGTCTGCTCAGGGAAGGGAGCTCCTGCTTCCAAAACAGGCTGAGCACATCCTGAGAGCAGAGCAGCAGCAAGATGCCATGTCAGGCTGCAGTGCCTAGCTGCAGGAGTGAGCCAGGCTCTTAAGGGAGACAAAATTAACCACCAGAACCAGGACATTCTGGGTGCAGATGGCCCAGAGTGAGGCACTAGCAAGGCTCGTTTCCAACACCACAAGCCAGGCCCCCTTGTCATACTGCAGGAGAAACACACGACTTTGTTCACCTTGATGGTTATAGAATTTACTGATAATCATCACCAGGATTAGAAGGGTCGGTAGAAAAATATAGTTTCCTATCATACAAAGATTAGTTTGCGACAGCCGCAGTCATTAGTGAGACAGGAAATGGGGTGTGAGCTGAATCAGAGAAGCACAGGGCATGTCTGCACACAGCAAGCAGGGCCACGAGCCTCAGCAGCGATGTTTCTCCAGGGCAGGCAGCTTCTCTGCACGGTGTTCCCTCGAGCGACGCTGGCCAGGGGCTCACAGCACTGCCTGGAACACCTCAGCACCGATGGTTTACAACTCTGAAGTTTTGGACAAGTTTGATTGAGCAAAGTCTACTGCCACCTGCTGAAAACTGAAGGGATTCCTCTGCTCACCCCACTCAGCATAAAGGAACGTAAAGGGAAGACCAAGCTAATGCAGTGAGAGGGGAGGAAGCTGCCAGCACTAACCGATTCAAGACTACTTCTTGCTGCTTGGATCTGATTTTACTGGACAGGTAACTGGGGAAGGCAGCCAGGGGAGCACTGGATACTCTGTGCACCAAAGAACACACCCCCAGTGCTAATCCCTGTCAAGACAAGTCAGGAGCTGATTGTTCACCTCCTAAGCAAGAATTCCCTGCAAATTTCACAGTGCCTGGACACAGAGAGACACTACTGGCTCCAACCACTCAACTTCCAAACAGTGGGCAAGCTGTCAACTCTTCAAGTAAAGCAGACCCCTTCCTCTTCCCCGAAACAGACTTTGGAGATCACAGTGGGTAGAAACCAGGAAGGTTTCAGTTCACCCAGCGCCAAGGGATTTTATTACGGAATTTTTGTTCTTAACAGCCCAGATTTGCACCCTGTGTGATTCAGCCCCATTATGCCAGAGGAACCAGCCTTGTGCCATCGCACATGGCACACTGATAAAGTGCTTTCACAGTTGCCATCAGCTTAGTCTTTGGGGTGAGGGAAAGGGGAACACAGCAGGTGCCCACGACACTAATTTCTAGCTTCACCTGAAAGGTAAGGCCAGCCCTGCCCAGTCTAATCCACCCAGGAAAACACAGAATAACTCATGTGAATGAAACCAGGCACTCTGGACATGCACTGTGTGTGCAGCCATTTGAAATGGGGAGGGGAAAAAGACATCTAGAGAGATCACTAGTCCTGTTTTTTCATTGGGGGCAGAAGCAAAGAGGGAAGGAGAGGCCCCACCTTCCCTGGGTGGATGACACAGTAAGAAGACAGGCTCTCCACAAGCAGCCCATCACATAGGGCTCTCTGGAGATCCAGGGCTTAGAATTCATTATACCACCTGGACCTCACCCACCTAAGGAGAAGGATTCACATTAAAGTCTTCCCTAAAATGCACAGCTTTATTTCCTGAATTAACATGGGATAAAATTTAGGGTAATCTCAGGAAGTAGCCCCTGAAAAACACGTCTCACCATTGGCTGCCAGTAGACTGCTCCTGAGAAATTAATCAGTACATAGAGAGAAATTATTCTTCATGATACACAGAGTGCCCTGCTTAGGGTTGTTTCAGCAGATAGGACACATGGCTCATGAAGGATAACTGGTCTTATGATAAGTTGCAGGTACAACAGGCAAGCAGGTTTGGAAACCAAAGGAGTTCGGCAAAAACACTGATGTGTTCTGCAAGGCTGGATACAGATCGCACCTTCCCTTGGCAGCCCATGCCATACCAATGGCAATAACCAAAGGACCACAGCAGAGCCATGGGACTGGCTACATCAACGCCTCATCCTTGGCACTCAACCTCACCTTCTCCAAGGTACCCCAAAACCCAAGCTCCCAGGAAATATCCAGCCACCTACTGCAGCGCCCCAGCCATGTGGCATGTCTGCTGGCAAAAGGCCAGCTCTAAGAGTTAGTTAAAAGTCACTTAAACCAAACTAAATCAATTCATTCTGAGAGACCACGCTGCCTGCTGGCACGGGTTGGACTGGGACATTGGAATTACCGCAGCTCCCCCCAGGAGCCTTGCAGGAATCCTACTCGGCACCATGCTGTGAGCTGGCTGCCTCTGCACCCAGGAAGCCCCATATCCCAACAACCCACCACCAACCAGTGCAGTCACCTAAGAAGCAATGTGCTGAGTTTTGTGTAAGCTGGCCAGCAATGTTTCCGTGTCAGCAAACACACCCAATTCCACCACACCACTGTAAACATGATCAGCAAGTAAAAGGAGAATGGAGAAGTTTAAAACCACGAGTCTCCTTCAGAGCCCAAGAAGCAACAGTGAGTGCTCACACATGCGCCCTGGGATTCCTAGTGTGGGCAGTGGGGTGTAGTGCCCCATCAGCTGTGCTCTGCTTCTCAGGCAGAAGGTACACAGTGCCTGGAGGGCTTCACTGTAGTAAAATACACAAAGATAGCAATCCTTTTTACACCAGTTATTCCCCCCACTGCAGCATTCATAGTCACAGTTCTCAGCAACAAATCTGTGATTTCATCTGTCTAAAATGATTTTTCCTTTTGCTGCTTCCAAATTCACTATGAGCAAGAGCTAGTATTCCAGCCAGGAAGAAAACAAATTCATTTTCTCATTTAAAAATTCACATTAGAAGAATTCACTGCAAACAAAGCAGCAAGAAGTCAAAGCATTAAGTGAGCATTAGTTCACTCTGTAGCACTGGTTCTAGCCCACAACAGCTACTGTCACCTCCTAGCTACATCCTGTGGCTAGAATTCATCACTGGTAAAAGGTAGATGGGCCTTCTGCTCCAGAAGCCATTTAGCTTCCTATCCTCCAGGGAAATAAAGTTTCACTTGGCACTTAATGTTATAAAAAATAACAAAAATCACCATTTTTTTAAGCTTAATTTCCAGCCATGCTGGAAGCAGGAGCAGGCCCTTGGGTTACCTTTATCCAGCAGAGAAAGCACACACCCAGGCACACCTCCCGTTGTGTTCCCTCTGATTTGTTTCAGAGGTGGCACAGGCAGCTGATCCTTTGCTCTTCCTTTAATCTGAGAGCTCTAGTACCTGAAGAAGAGCTAGAGAGTGGCTAAAATGCGTAGAAATGAAACCACCACCACGCAGAATGTCTGGCCCACTCCCAAAATGAGGGCTTCAAAGGGAATCATTTTTTTCCCTGCAGCTCTGTAAACTCCAGCAATGGCAGCACCTGCAGAGAGTAGAAAAAGCCAGAACATGAACATGTAGACATAAGCTGCCATACCACAGAGATGAAGGGAGGAATCTAGGATGATGGGAGACTGGGGCAGAGAACACAGGGGCTCTGTGGGAGAGGGCTAGCAGAAGTGCTGGACTGGGTTTGCCATGAAAAACCTCAGCTGGTAACCAACCTGCGCTGGTAGGAACAGGTAAATTGGTGGTGAAGATCTCCTGAGTCCTGCAGAAGGTGTGGAGGTTGGGGTGGGTCTGGACATACTTTTGTCACAAGATCCTCTAATCACAGCCCACGGCTGCAAAGAATACCCAGTTCTTGGCACAGACACCAAACCTGTGCATGGGTTTCCTCTGAGTGCTCAGAAACCTGAAAGCCCACCTGGCTCTGCACCTGGCAGGTATGTTTGGAAGCCCTGAAGTATGGTCCAACTCTTTCAAACATAGAATCATAGAACAGTTTGGGTTGAAAGGGGACCTTCACTGGTCACCTAGTCCAAAACCTCTGCAGGGAGGAGGAACACCTTCTAGAGGTTTCCCAGAACCACACCCAGCCTAGCCTTGAAAATCTCCAGGGATGTTGCACCAACCACCCCTTGGGCAACCTGGGCCAGTGTTTCACCACCATTACTACAAAAAATTTCTTTCTCGTGTCCAGCCTGAATCTCCCTCTTTCAGTTTAAAACCACCACCCCTCATTCTGCCACAACAGGCTCTACTAAAAAGTCTCTCTCCATCTTTCTTATAGGCCTCTTTTAAGAACTGTAAGGTCACAATCAGGTCTCCCCAGAGCCTTCTCCTGGCTGAACAACCCCAACTCTCTCAGCCTTTCCCCACAGGAGAGGTGCTCCATCCCCTGATCATTTTTGTGTCTCTCTCTGGACCCTCTCCAACAGGTTCATCTCCTTCCTGTCCTGAGGACTTCAGGGCTGGACGCAATGCTCCAGCACCTAACATAGACGAAGGGGGGCATACAGCTAAAACACCCATCTCCTCTCTACCCCGGGGAATGCCGCAGTTGGACGCGCTCCCAAAGGCAACCTCTTATCACCTCAGAGGCACCCTGTCCCGGTTATCGATCATGTACCGTACTTGTGAGAATGCCAGCGGTAATGGGTCCCACGATGCCCATCAGCAGGAGGCTCACGGACATGAACCTGCCGTACTTGTGGTGCCGGAGCGTGAAGAGCGCTAGCAAAGCTGCCGGAACGTGAAAGGAGAGGGAGGACACGAGCGCCCACAGGAAGACGCCGTACCACATCTCTGTGGAGAGAAGCGCCGTGAGGCCTGCGCGGGGCCAGCGGACCACGGAAAGGCCCCGCTCTGAGAAGGCCCCGCCGCGGGACGGTACCTGGGAAGGTAGAGAGAGGGCTGGAGTAGGTGGTGGTGCCATTGCCGACGCGGGGCACCAGGCGAAGGCTGAGGATCTGCTGCAGAAGTCCCCCGCCGCCCGCTTCGCCGCCCTCCATCCCCGGGCTGGGCCCGCAGACGCCATTCACAGCCGCACTTTCCGCCCCACCCCTTCCGATCATCATAGCCAATGGGAAACGTCGCGCGGTGACAGACAGGGCCCTTGGCCAACCACCTCTCGCCCGCGGCGCTTCCGGGCCGCCAGGGGCCATCCCCGCCGTCCGTTGCTATGGGAACGGCCGTATGTCGCAAAGAACTCTGGGCGCCCTCCCTCGGGTGCCGTCGGTCGCGGCTGCAGAGGCGCTCTAGCCTGCCGCTAGCTCTCTCGTCGGTGCTCCCTCAGCTCCTGCGCCGCCTTGGAGGTCTAGGCGTCGGCCGCTCCGCTAGGGGGCGCGCGCGAGCGACGGCGACGCTCTGGGCAGCGGAGTTGCGCGCGTGAGGCGGCCGCGGCGGCTGTGAGGCGGCTGGGCTGGGGTCGGAACCATGTCGGGGTCGGAGGATTACTCCTCGGCCGAGGACGAGGACTACGTGCCTTCAGGTGAGCGGGGCGGTCCCGGTACCGTTGTTCCCGGTTGTCCCGGTCCCGGTGCTTACCCGCTGTGCTTACAGGTGCGGAGTACAGCGAGGATGACGTGAGCGAGCTGGTGCGGGAGGAACCGGCGGACAGCCCACGGCCGCCCCGCGGCAGGAGGATTCCCCGCCGCCCCGCCAGCAGGTACAGCCGGTTCCGCACGGGCGTGGTATCGCGGGCGGGAGAGTCCGCCTTGGCCCTGCCGGGAGCCGCCTTCGCGGGTGCTCGTTCCGCCGGCCTCTGTGGTGAGGGGCTGGGGGATGAGAAACGCCCTTCTTCGTTGCGGTTCAGCACCTGAGATCCTCAGGCTTGAATGAGATCGTCCTGAAACCCCCCTGCAGGAGCCCGTTAGTTTCCTTCCAATAAGACTTTTTAAGTGCAAAGTACTTTTGGTGGGAGAAACCTCCCATGTATCTAGCTTGAGGCTGCATCCTGTCCACCTCAGGATCTCCTGTTGTGGTTTCTGTAGTATCCCTGACCCCATTATACCCTTACAGGTACACATATGCGTGTTGGGAGACAGTCTGCTTCAGTCATGTGGTGTTTTCTGAACAGCATCATCTTTGAATTAAGCAGCCTCACCCCCAAGATGAGGGGAATTGCCCTGGTAGACTGTCGTTGTGTAAATACGCAATGCCGTGTTGCTTCAGTGTTCCGCTCCACAGTAGTGTTGCGGCACCTCAGTATATGATGTGTTTATGTCTTTTTTTGGTATCTGCTCTTAGGAAGAGGAAGAAAGGAGGTCTCTTGCTAGAGCCAGATGAGATAGAGGAAGAAAAGACTCAGAGGAATGAAGAAGAGGAGGAGGAGGAAGTGGATAATGTAGAGCAGGTGGAAAGAAGAAAAGAAGAAGAAATAAAAAAGAAAGAGGATGCTCTTTGGGCCAGTTTCCTCAGTGATGTGGGACAGAAACCCAAACCAGAGACTTCCACTCGGGCTGAGCAGGTAACGAAGCCCTGGGCTTTCACCCAGGGAGGATGGGGAGGGCCAAAGCTTTAGAGCAGTCAGCGTTGGCTCTACCTGGTGCCAGGTGTCAGTTGAAGCTGGGGGAGGCTGGGCTTATCGTTGCCCCATCTGCTTAGTAAACCTAGAGCCTCATCATGAGCAAACTGTAAGCTGCTGGTTTCCTTCTGGCTGGGGAGGCATATGATCTGGCAGTGCTGCTTCTGGAGCTGCTTGTCTGCGTCTCGGAGTGCCAACAGAGCCCTGCCGGCATCCCTTTTCGGTCCTGGATTCTTGTGTGATGTAGGAGTGGCATAGTGAGCTTTGGGCTGAGCTGTGCTGGTGGCACAGCTCTCCCCTGAGGCTTGCGCCTTTCCTCATACTCCAAATAAAACAAGAAAGGGGGGCTCTCTATGTATGTGTGTGTGTGTGGGGAAACTGAAGAGACTCCTGCCGACATCTCTGTGCTTTGCTGTTCATCCTCATACAGTGAGGGAAGGTGGAAGATGCTGCATGTTGGAATGGGCACTGGTAACAAGAATGAATCGAGCTTTCTCTAGTTTCCTTTACATGCCCCATTAAAGTGCTCTTGCTCCCTGTCTGCAGAGGTTTTCTGTAGGAAGAATTCTGTGTGTAATTGGGTATTTAAAAGAATTTGGTTCTTGATAAAACCGTATGCATTTATTTGCCTTGTAAAGCCGTTCACACTGAAGGTGGTAGAATGGAAGAAGGTACCAAAACTCACCCTCTTTTCAGACTGTCTTGTTTTTCTCCCTTTTTGAGTGATCAGGCAAAAAGAGTATTTTCTAAGAAAAGTCTGGACTCCTGAATCAGTGGCACTTTGCAAGTACAGTCCTCACTGTGTGAAGCTTATTTCTCTAACTGTTGGAGGGTTGCAGAACAAGTGTAGCCATTCAGTCCTTGCTTCTGAACCCTTCTGATTTTCTCCACCTCACTTGTTACTGGCTAAAGAGATAAGATGACTGCAGGTAGAATTTGAGAGGAGGAGAGAGTAAAAATTCCCTGAGCAAAGCTACAGGCAGAAACCTAAAATGTGAGTGGCCTGTGAAAGTTCGTCCATGGCCCAGAAAAATTTTTGGAAAGATGCAGTTCCTCTCTTCTTTTTATTCTTAATTTGGACTTCAGTTGTCTGCTTGAAGATCTCAGTGGTACGTGGCTGATTTAGAGCACGAATTTTGGGGGTTGTTTTGAATATTTGTAGGGTGTGAGGCTGTTTATATATGCTGTTAAAAGCTGTAGTTATGACTGAGTAAATTAAGAAGTATTATTGAGATTGCTTAATAAAGATATTTTCCTCTCAAATAGACATTGTTGACAAGTAGCTTATTAACTTCAGGGTTGTCTGTGAAGATCAGCCTTGTGTTCTGCTATATTATTGAGTAAAAATAAACGTATTGGGGTGCAATCCATGCAGTTAGTTTGGGAGAACCAAGTCTTAAGGCTTTTGCTTGCTTTCTGAACCACAGCAGTGTATTCTTGCTTATTCCTACATTTAATTATAATTTCACATCTCATTTTGGGTCTGTTTTGATCCTTAAGCTCCAGTGAGAGTCTGGAACCAAAGTGGGGAACTTCCTTTTGGTGGCAGGGGTGTTTGTTTCCTTTTGCTTTCTGTGGGTGGCTTGCTTTGACTAGCCAGCCTAAATTGCAGTGGGACCTGAGGTCTGTGTTGAGTCCTTGGCCCCTTGGAGTGATAATTCAGCTTGGCTTCACAAATTCATTATTTTGCTTTCTCCTTTCTGTATTCTGTAGGCTGAAGGAGAGAGGAGTGGGAAGAAGCTTCAGGAGAAACCAAAAGATGCAGGAAAAGTGACAATCACCAAAATGTTTGATTTTGCTGGTGAGGAGGTCAGGTAAGTTGGCAGATGTGACACTGCAGACTCAGCACAGGGTACTGCTTTTCTGTGGGCAGGCTGGAAATGTGCTGTGAAGTATGGTGTATCCTTCCTTTTCCCTTTAAGTTTAAGATATCCCTACCTGAGGGCTGCAGAGTATCCTGGCACAGGCTGCCCAGAGAAGCTGTAGCTGCCCCATCCGTGGCAGTGTTCAAGGCCAGGTTGAACAGAGCATGGAGCAACCTGGTCTAGTGGAAGGTGTCCCTGCCCATGGCAGGGGGTTGAAACTGGGTGAGCTTTAAGGTCCCTTCCAACCCAGACCAGTTTGGGATTTGCAGACCTCAGTCTTTGCTCGATTTCATAATACTCCTGAAAATTCACTTTGACTTTCCCATTTGGACTGCGTTTAAAATGGTTGGCAAAGCTTCCCAGTGGCTCTGCCCACTGGGAGGGTTGAGACAAGGAGAAAAATTGTAGAGCCCACATGGATGACAGTAATGTTTTATTCCTTCAGTCCAGGTCCTGTGTTGGGGGCAGGATATTTGCTGACACTTTCCCTGGTGATATTCACAATCCTCTGCACAGATCTTTAGACAGTAAGAGGCGTTTTGCTCAATGCACTAATAGCTGAGGGCTTTTACCTCTGAAATGGCTGCAACAAAAATGATGGGTGCAGGAAAATCATCTTTAGGTTGAGTTTAGTGTGCAACATGCGTCTGTGGATGCACTGCAGAAACGGGCAGGCATTTTATAAATGTGTATGACCAGAAGAGAGAGCCCTGGGTGAACCCACTCTAAAAATCTGAATGCATTATGACCTTGTGGTTATTACCACAGTGTTTTGTTGTGTTTTATTTTTCCAGTAGGTAACTGTAAGCCTGGTTTTGTCACATGAGAATTTCGTCTCTGTGTGTGACAGCAGAGGGCAGCAGTTCCCAGCAATAACTCACAGATTTTAATCTGGAGGGGGAAGCAAGAGAGCAGGGGCTTCCGCTGCTGTTGCTGTTAATGTCAGTACTGCTGCCTGAACTGTTTGAAAAATCTGAAGAGAGCCATAGTAACGACTTCCCTATTTGCCTGTACAATCCAGGCTGTGGGAATACCCTTAATTCACTGATGAAATGACAAAGAACTGTGCCACTGCAGTTTTTCTGAGACAGAGGATCCACCATACCCTTTCCTCAAAGGAAAGGCACAGACTTTCCTGTGGACAGATAAAATTCTGTAGCAGAATTTTTCTCCTAATGCACTCTTCGTTCCTCAGCTGCCAGCTTGCTTGCCTCCAGTTTTGCTGTTCTTTTTCCTGGTTCAAACACAATGTTCTGCTGGGTGAGAACAGCCAAAGCTGTAGGATCACAGGGCCAACATACAAAAGCCTTGTTGTGTTCTGATGTATCATCAGATGGAATACAGCAGAACTGGTGCTTTAGGGTTGCAGGAAATCAGCATGCAGTCTTGTTTAAAGCCTGAACATGTCCATCTGTGTGTTGTAGGTGTTATGTCCTAACATGAGCATAGCTGTATCACTTAAAGGAAGGGGTTGATTTACAGGGAAGCTACCATGTGGTCTTCCTTTAGAACAGGAGTCTTCCACTTGTGGAAAGGAATTCTTTTGTTGTGCAATTTTTTGAGAAGTATAGGACCCTTTAAAGCAGGGAGCTGGCAAAAATGTCTGCCTTGAACCTTCTTGTTCACCTGTCTCTAGGAAAAGAAGCCACAAGTGATTATGATTTAAGCCTAGAATTACTTGGGTTGGTCTAATTCTGGCATTCTAGATTTTGTGTGGTGGCTAAAGATTCACTTTGCAGTGCTGCTCTTGCTTTTATCAGTAATATTCGTTGGAGTGGTTAGAGAAACTTAACTTCCTTTGTCCTTCAAGAAGCGGCTTGCCTTGCGAATAGAACATAGCCAGGACTCCTAAGCTGCCGAGTTTGTGCTTTTGACATCAGTATCTTATCTGTAGGTTTTTTGTTATAGCTGTAGCTACATTAGCTAAAGGTGTATTTTTCTGCACCAGTTGCTTTTCTAGTGTCCTTTGTACTGCTCAGTGCTGTTTCCCTTGGGCTCTGCAAAGGAATTGATACATGTGTTGACTAATTTTTGTCAAATAGACAAAATTTTTGACAAATAGACAAAAGCAGGAAAAAAAAAAAAGATGACAGGAGACTGTAATCCTGCAAAAACCATGAAGACTGATGTGGGATTTGTTTACAGCAGCTGTTTTATCAACAGGTTACAGAGCCAGCCACAGACACTGCAGCAAGCTATGGGGACCATTTTCTGCTGGTGCCAGAGTTACAATGTGCTTGAATGTTTTTTGCCCCCATGGTTTTTGTAATATTCAGAGCTGAAGCTTTTGTGGTGTTTGCTACATCTCACATCTCTAGATGCATTACAGTGTTAGCTATGGGTAGAAGGGGTTACCGCTGCTTGCAACAAGTGCTACTTTCCAGTAATGGCAGTAGGTCAGGGCCAGAGGGCTGCTTTTACTTTAGAATAGTGAGAGGTTGTCTTTGCACTACCCTAAAGTCTGCAAATGCTCTGAATACCAAAAGGCTTATTTCCTTGCCTGGGGAAGCAGCTGGCACATTGTAATTTATAAAGGCCAGCACATGGTAGTCATACATGTGCAGTTGTCTTGTGTTTCTGGACCAAAAGAAGTGAAATGAGAGAGCTTCCTCTGTTGCTTTCCTTTCTAAATGGTTTGAGGCTACTTTTGAGTGTTGCTCTTTTGAAAGCTTGAGAAGAATTTAGATCAGTATTTAAGCACTGATAGATTCAGGGCACAAATTTTGATAGTCTGCTCACTAAAGCTCTTAACAGAAGATATTTAGGCCTGATCTCCTGTTGCAGAACAATATATTTACTCCTGTAAGAAGATGGTATAATCTCTTGCATGATTGGAGTAGCAGAAGTCCCTTGAAAGAGATCTTCAACTGCAGGGCTACACTAGAACAGTGAAAGACCTTACTCTTTAAGCTGTCAGCTCTCCTGTAGGTAATTGTTGCATTTAATGTCTGTTTTGATTAGTATGTGCTTGTATCAGTTGCTAATGCTGATCTTTAGCTTCTGAGTATTGCAACTTACCAACCACCAAATAAAGCATCAAACTTAGTGGCTTTTAATTTTATAGAATATATGATTTAGTATTAGGTTGTAAATCCAAAGTTTTTGAATCCTGGAACTAGAAACAATCTTTCAACTGATTTCTAAGTTTTCCACTTGTGACTTTTCTGTCTGCTTGTCATTCCTCCCTGGTGTTAAATAGATTAGGGGCATCAGGTGACTGTCACCCAAATGGCTGTAATTGTGGGCAGTTGGAGCAATTTGCAAAGGTAGTTCAGCATCTAAATGTAAGTTCAAGTAATTTCTCCCTGTCAGAGGAGATTGAAGCTCCTTTGAAGCCTCTGGTTTATGAACTTGCCTCACAATGCAGGATGCATGGTTGTGTTAATAGGGAATTGCATCCCTGATGCTAGGGTTTATCTATTGCAAAATATAATTGCTGTATGATGAGGCTTGTTTTCTCGTTGGCACTCCAGACTACTTTGGCCCTTGGCTTTCTTTAAACTGCTGTTTTGCTTAGTGTAGCAAAATGGTTCTCTTGTGCTCCTTCAACGAAAGTCAACTTTGTGTCCATCCAGGACTGCAGCAGAACATGGCTCCTGCACATGCAGCTGGCCCAGCCCCCTGGTGGTTATTGCAGACAGTGTAACAGCTTGACAGGGAGGAGTGAAATGGGGCAGTTGTACGCCGTTTGAAACACCTTCTGTGCACCTTCATTTGACTTGTGGGAAGCAAAACAAAATTTAGAGGAGGAATGGTGGCTGGCTTGGGTGCTAATTCAGGAATGGGAAGCCTGTGTGTGACACCCTGCTCTGTTCTTACATTGCAAATTCCAAATAAAGGGTTCAAAGCTAGAAGCTTCCTATTTCTTACATATGTTCTTTGTTCATGTGGTTTAAATCCAGAGCTTTACATACTTGAGCTATTCTGCTGCTGGGAATGTTGTCCTGGTACTGCAGAGTTGCCAGGCTGTATTGAGAGTGTTGTACTGTGCTGGCAAAACTGGCTTGTGGTGCTTCAGTGACCCTTGGCCACTTCGCTGTGCCTGAACACAGCAGCCAAGCCAAAGCAAAGCCATAGCAGGGCTCCACTCCCCATCACTGGGAAGAACCCTTCTCTTTTCCTGAGATCTGACAGGGCATTCTGTCACAGTTCTCTTTGCTTTCCCACAAGGCTGTCTTCTCCAGGAGCGCCAGTCTGGGATCCAGAAAGACTCGCTGCAAGTTGGGCAATGGCCTCAGGCCTCTGCACTGTGGTTGCTTTCTGCTCAGTCCTCACTGCTGTAGATAGGTGGTAAATAGCTGACTTCTCAGAGGCAATTGCTCCTGACCCTGGAGGGCTTGCAGATCAGATTTTGCGTTAACCCTGGAGTTTTATTCTTGAGCTTTTTCACTGTGTTTGCACACTCGGAACCTGTTTCTTTCAGCACCCATGTGTCTGTCAGTTGTTCTTGTGGTATGAACAATTCTGGGCTTCTTGCCACATCTAGAGCAAGAATTTCCAAGCATGCTGAAGGCATCATTCTTACTGCAGTGTCAGAAACTGGCAGAGCACAGAGCCCTGACCCTGAAGCACCTACAGGCAGGGAACTGAGAGTTTTCTGTGGGACTTTGCATAATGGATAAATGTTACTTTCATATTTGAAGGCTGAGCAGATGGGTGAGATTTTGGAGTCTGACTGAAGCTCATCTTTTCAGGTTGAGTTCCATAATCTTTATCTGCTTCTTAAGTGCCTGTTTCCTGATTAATTTGGGCTGCTCCTGAAAGTATTCTTCAGTGTTTGCCTGATTAAAGCTTACTGTTGCTTTGAAACTTAGTGCTGGAATGCCTGTGTTTGGTGGGGCAAGAAGCCCGGCACAGTAAACTCTCTGGGAAAGCTCTTGGCTTAAGTTCACAGCCATGAAAATCACCTGACTAAGGGTGCTGGGTTTTTTTTTTTTCCCTCCTGCTCC